TAAAATAAATGACTTGGAAGCAAAATAAAGGGAGCTCTGAACTTTTTGTTCATTAATATTTGTACCACTTATAAGGTAAATACCTAATATGAAAGAAAAAGCATCTCTTTTGTATGTTGTAGGCTGGTTGTGTGTAGTGTGTATGTACCATTAGTGCTTGATAGCTGTGTGTAGTGTTTGGTAATGCTAATCTGTTTATTACCATACTGGTACTTATTCCCTCCCTTCCTGCTTACTTGTCTGCAGCAGGCAGGCAGGCAAGATCTCTGGTGGACCAGTACGGGTTAAAAATCTCTGATAGTCTGAGTGGATTAGGGGGTACAGTTATTTATTATTAGGGTATGCCTCCTCTGTTTGCAGTCTTTAGCGACATCACCCGCACGTCCGGCACTCAATGTGTCAGCGCAAAGCATTTCTTTTTTGGCAGCTGCTGCAACCCAGCGCTGCCACTCCAGATGGCTGCAGAGGGAGGTGCACAACACCCCCCTGGCTGCCCGACAAGAGTTGTGCCTAACCCCTCTTGGATCACCCCAGGACCGGTTAGTGTGAAAGACACAGCCTCTCCTCCGGCTCCCCACAGCCTCGCCTACTCCTCTCTCCTTCCCATCAGGAGAAACTTTGGTGCAGAGGGGTGGCCCCCTCCCCTGAGGGCTGCACCATGCTGTTGGGAGCACAGGAGAGTCCCCAGACATGAGTTCTCCAGCACTCAGTGTCAGGGCAAAGTGCAAAGAGCAGATCTGGAGCAGCTCCTCGGTTTGCTAAAATGGGGGGGGGGGGGGGAGGGAGCCACATGCCATCCATTCCCTGGGCCTCCAACTTTGCAAACCAGCTGCTGTCCCGAATGCACTGCACCTGGAGGAGGAAGCGTTAAGTGCCTGTGCGTGCACGTGTGTGTGTGTGCACGCACATGCATGCATTTGTGCAGTTTTTATTCCTCCCCTGCCACTTTGTGATTTTGAGAGACTCCCAAGAGCAGAGGAGAAACGGGCTTGGAACAGGAAAGCCAGCTGCTCCTGGGCAGAGCGGGCCGTCTCACTCCACACCGAGCTTCTGACTTTGCCTGGGCTGAGGGACCGCACAGTCCGGAGAGGTGAGCGTTGTGTGTGTGTGTGCGTGTGCATGCATGCGCATGTTTGTGAGGGATGGGAGAATCCAGGGACCCGAGTTCTCCAGCAGCCTTGCCAGCATGGTGCAGTGCGGCGTGCAACACTCACCTCTCTGGACTGTGTGGTCCCTCAGCCCTGGCAAAGTCAGAGGCTTGGTGTGGAGGGAGGCGGCCCGCTCTGCCCGGGAGCTCCTGGCTTTCCTGTTCCAAGCCCGTTTCTCTTCCACTTTTGGGAGTCTCTCAAAATCATGGAGCATGTCAGGTTCAGCCCAAGGAACTCCACGAGATAGTACAGATTTAGTTCTATAGCCTTTATTAGTTTTCACCTTCAAGACAGAATCTTGCCAGACTGAATCTAATATTCCCAAGCCAGCAAGCAAACACTGCAAATTCCTTAGGGTGGTGCCAGTCTCATCGTCTTCACCTTCCCATGCTCTTTCTGTGGGCTAAGTAAATGCTTATCTCCCTGAGCGCTGCCTTCGCCAACCCATTCCATCACAGAGTGGCAGGGGAGGAATAAAAACCTCACAAACGCACGTGCGTACACACACACACACCAGCACTTAACTCCTCCTCACCCAGGTGCAGAGTGCTCAGGACAGTGGCTGGTTTGCAAAGTCAGAGGCCCGGGAAATGGGTGGCATGCAGCTCCCTGCCCCCCCCCCCCCGTTTTAGTAAACCAAGGAGCTGCTGTGGATCTGCACTTTGAGCTTTGCTCTAACACTGAGTGCTGGAGAATGCGCGTCTCTGGACTCTCCCATGCTCCCAACAGCGCTGTGCAACCTTCAGAGGAGCGCCGATCCCCTTGGTTGGGTGGTGCAGCGCAGGCTCCGTGCCTCCCTGTGTGGCAGGGTTGCGGTGGCTGCCGAAAAAGAAATGCTCTCCCGGCCGCTGGCACTTTGCTCTCCCAGCCCTGCCGCTTGAGGTGAGAAGCCGGAGGGCATATTGGCGCATAACATGCAGCTGGGATTTCAGCCCCAAATTTTAGGAGAAAAAGTGTGTGTTATATCCCAATAAATATGGTAATTTCCTTTCTGAGATTTGTGTCTTTCTTGGTTTTGGCTTCTCTTCTCTTCTTGGCAATTTCCACAGTTTGCTCGGACATCCAATTTGCTTTCTTCTCTTCCTTCATTTTTAGCAGTCTCTTTTCACATTCACTTTTAACAACTTCTAAGTTCATCCCATAATTCCTCTGGTTCTCTATCAATGAAGTTCAGGTCTTCAAAGCAATTCCCAATGTTCTCCTTGAAAATGGTGGGTATTTGTTCAAGACCATATGATGGAAACTGACTGGCTTTCTTCTTCTTCTTTAGCTTAACTTGGAACTGGCACATGAGCAGTTCATGACCTGTTCCGCAATCAGCACCTGGCCATGTCCTTGATGGCATAACTGGGCTCTTCCACCTTCTTTTAGCAATAATATAGTCAATTTGATTTCTATATACTCCATCAGGTGATGTCCAGGTAGAGAGGCATCATTCTGGTTGCTCAAAGACAGTGTTAGCTATGAAGAAACCATTGGAGTGGCAGAAATTGATACGTCACTCTCCGGTTTCATTCTGGTTTCCTAAGCCATACAATCCAACTACATTTTCCCCTTTCATGTTTCCAACTTTGGCATTTCAATTTCCAATCACAAGCAGCATGTCTTGCTTACATGTTCTGTTGATTTCAAATTGAACTTGATCACAGAAGTCATCAACCTCCTCTTCTTCTGCATCAGTGGTTGGAGCATAAATTTGAATGATTGTCATATTAAAGGGTTGTCCACAAGGTCTTATTATTTACTATTTCATCATTGATTGCATTGTAGTCAAGTACTGTTCTTGCTATAGGCTTCCTAACTACTGTATAAAAGCAACACTGTTTCTTCTTTGTTTTTTGTCCTGAGTAATAAACAGTGTGAGCTTCTGACTGAAAGTGTCTGATCCTAGTCCATCTCAATTCACGGATGCCTAAGATGTCAATTTGTGGTTGTTTCATTTCACCTTTCACTGTGTTGACCTTTCCAGTGTTCAAGTTTCTTACATTTCATGTTCTTACTGTAGTTATGTCTTTGCAGCTTCGCATTTTCTTTTCTGTATGGCAACATCAGTGACTAGACATCCCAAAGACTTTACTCTAGCCACATCATAAACACCATTAGTACTCTGAAAGATCCTCAGCAATTCCTCAGTAGCATGTTGAGTGCTATCTGAATGGAGGGGCCCATCATCTGGCACTATAATTTTATATTTTCTATCCATGTAGGTTTCTTGGTAAAAATACAGGAATGGTTTACCTTTGCCTTCTCCCATGCACTACGAATTGATGCCTTTGCCATTGTCACTAAAGTGATCATCTGCCTCTGGCATCTTCCTATATCACTGCTGCCCAATATAGGTGCCTGCTTGCTTTAGCTGGGCAGCTGGGATGACCTTCACATCTTGGGTGACCCTGGTGGGAATATAAACCCTTGGCATACACTCCCTATGTTCTTCGCTCATCCCTCCCAGGAACACCCCACTACCACCACAATGAGGCAGAACAGCAGGACTTGGGGGGGGGGGGGTGTATGTGCAATTTCTGCATTAAGCAATGCAAAATAGAATTATTAATGGCACAATAGGAATAACATTGTCTCATGTAATGCTGCGCTAGTTTAAATTTCAGTTATACAACCCCTATAACTGCTGGAGAAAACTGATGTGTAGGAATGTGCTATTTGGTTATTTAAAGTGCATTACTAATAAAGTTAAATAGGATACTGATTTGGTATAGCATATATGACACACGTACAAGAAGCACAACCCCTGCAAAATGCTATAATTTTATTAATCATTTAGTTGTTGTCAAGAAACAAAAAGTATAAAAGGTGAAGTTTTCCCTCAACCAGACATTAGTTGACAGACAGTACAGCACTTATTCAGAAGAAAATATCCCTGAAAACCTATTTTCCAGAAACAAATAAATAGTAATTATATGTTCAAAAATAATTCACTATCTTAGAACAGAAATTCTAAGTTATATTACTGTTATTTATTACTTTGGTTTACAAAAATTCTTCATATGACCTTTTGGTGTGCATATACATATATTAGTCCATTCATTCTGTAAACAATTACGAAAATAATTCAGGTCTTCATACAATTACTATGCTGATGGTATCATGTAAACAGATAGTCTTCTTCAGCAGCACCCACACTTCACAGGTTTTTCTTCCCCTTGTTGCAATAGTAATAAATCTACAAAGAATTTCACGTCATTATAGCCTGTCTTCCTTACTCATATTTGGAAAGAGTAGAAAGGTTGAATTTTATAGCAGAAGAAATTTGGAAGCACAGCAGGAAAAATTACATCAGGGAACTGAGAGCTACGTTTACCATTTTAGCAAAAACCAACTGATAATCTTGTCAAATGCAACAGAGATGAATTGGATCAGAATCCTACTCAAAGCTTCTGCCAATAGGTGGTAAAAGCTCCACCCGTCTGAATTACAATGGTACTACCTGTCACTTAATGCAGGAATTGTCACTTCTCATGAGAAGATCTCAAGCCAAACCAATCCATCCTTTTTATTGTTTCACCCCAACTCTGATTATTGACACCGAGCCCTCTTCCTCTCCATCACCAAGTTTTTTTTCAAATTGATCATATAGTCTCAGTTGAGTCTACACCCAAGAAAAGGTCAGGACATTTCAAAATGCTTGGCATGCAGAAGAGAAAATCTTTTCTTGAAGAGTAGATAATTTGGTTGTATGTTGCTTGAGCCTAAGATTTTCATTTATTCAATTCTGGGTCACTTTATGAAAATGTCTAGACTTGTCCTGATTGTCCCTTTCTTTCCTTCTCCTGCTGCTGCTGCTGCTCTTGCTGCTGCTGCTGCTCTTGCTGCTGCTGCTGCTGCTCCTCTTGCTGCTGCTGCTGCTGCTGCTCTTGCTGCTGCTGCTGCTGCTGCTCTTGCTGCTGCTGCTGCTGCTCCTCTTGCTGCTGCTGCTGTGGTGGGAAGGTGGACACCTCTTGTTGCTGTTCTTGCTGAGGTGGTGTGGGAGTGGGCAGAATGGTGCATTCACTGTTGACACACTCACACTCATCAACATGGATGTAAGAATAATCCACAGTGGAACCATGGGGGCAAATCAAGGTCACCTGCCTCTTCCTAGTCTTTCGCTCTCGACAACATGAGCATTTATGATCCATTGTGTTTGCTTCATATGAATACCTGAATGGTAAAAACAAATTGGGGTTGAGATGAACTGCTCCACGATTTAGTCTATCCCTCACCAACCATTACTTGGTTTCACCAGAACTTTGTCTTTTCAATGCCACCTACATGGCTTTGGGGACTAAAAATGTTCTAACCTATCTCTATCAATATAATACGTCCAGGAATGGAAGCAGTTTTGGGGTCCATCAGGTGTCTTAGTGTTGATGGACCATCGCAGCTTTTTTCGTCTCTTCCCTCCTTCTTCTTTGTTGTTGTCACTCTCTCTTCTCACCCATTTGCTCACCTGCTTGCTTCCTTCTACCTTCTCCTCCTCTTTTGACATTTGCCAGACACCTCTTCTCCTGCTTCTTTATCATTTGCCAATTTTTTTCCTCAAGGAATGGGAGCTAGGCCTGCACACTGATCCATCTAAAATTACCTTAAATAGAATTTCATCTTCATGTGGAATAATTTAAGATGGTAGGCACTGGGCCAACAGTGGAACTGAATCTTAGCTCAACTTCCATTTAAAAAGTTGATAGATGAAAATAAAATGGCATCTGGACTACTTAGCATACATCCTAAGAATCTGATCTTGGATAAATTCTTTGAGTTCATATCTCATGGTATTTGAAGGCTTTCCAAATTTTGTGCAGAGTTGTTTCACATTGAGCTACCAAGATGCAATAATCTTCCTGAGTACTTACTTTGAAATGCTGTCACAGTTGCCTTCACAGTATGTTACTTGGATAGGTGAAGAAGCTTCACAGCCATTGTGTTTTATTGTTTTATTGATACTTCTTGGTGCACAGGGTTCTTTTGCTGGGAGTGGAAGAAACAGTAAAAAAATCATGAGTCTCTAATCAGAAACATTGTAAAACAAAAATAAAAGAAAGTGTATAAGTATAATGTGTGCATGTAAGATCGTATCTAGTGTATGCTTTGGATGTGATGAATGGATGAAAACCATGTCAGTTTGCTTCTGTAGAGATTTGCGGGGCTACAAATCACAGCAACCTTGCCCATCAGCTATGCTAATTGGGCTTGAATGGAACTGGAATCCAATATTGTCTGAAAGACTACGGATTCCTCTCTCTCCCTATGTTAGATTATACTCTGATGCAGTTGACATTTAAAGGCATGTTCAGGAAGCCAGAATCTGCACTAAACATGTAATGAACACGAACATGTCAAAACATAAAAATTAGCTCTATGGCTGGTGAGAATCTGAAGTTTTTGACTTATGTATTGTCGAAGGCTTTCACGGCCGGCATACGATGGCTGGCGTGGGTCTTCCGGGCTGTGTGGCCGTGGTCTTGAAGTTTTGTTTCCTAACG